CTTTTAAACTTTAAGCCCTTAGCTGGGCTTAGTTAGTCGAGGCTGAGCTATTAAACTTAAAGCCCTTAGTAGGGCTGAGATGAAGCTCAAGGCTGAGCTTTTAATCTTTAGCCCTTTTTTGCATTGAACATGTGTTATTAATGATCTGCCAGTTCCCTAACCCACAAAATTTGGGATGCTACTTCCTTTAATAAAGAATTCAAAATTCCTATGTACCTTTTTCCTTATGATTTAATGACCTCCAGATCTTCACTTGTTCCATCAAGAATTGCGACGATGAGAATCTTTGTCAAATCGTCATCTGCTTGGATCTAGAGCTCCATTCATGAGTCTCTTAGAGGATCAAAAGCCCTTTTGTGGTAGTGTTTGTCTCGACTTATATATGTGGTTTCAGCAATTTCAGGGTCGCGTGTTTACCATGTATGGGAGTCGAAATTTGTAGTTTCCCACAGACGGCGCCAATGTTCGGTCCTGTTGAACCGTATAAGGATACCTCATGGGTATGCGCTCAGAGATATCTAAGAGATAGATATCCGATTGACTTATAGCCAATACTCCAATCACTGCACACTATCAATGGACATGTAGCCAAGACGTGGGTATGTGCACAGTGTGGGCAGAAGTAGTAAATGAGTTTAGAGTTTGTACCTGGAGTATTTAACCTCTTATTTATAAGGATTACCTATCGGGCTTGTGTAGATATCCCTGTTGTAGTAGGATTCAACTTTCTTTCTGTTGGGATAGAGACTCTATCCTTAACAGCCTTACTGTTTTATATTGTTAGGATAATTGGGTAATATCCTTTAAGGGATCCTTGGGTAAGTGGTTAGGATATGAAAATATTCCATAACAGGTTTTGTTTTGTGCTGAATGAAGACGCACCATGTTAAAAAATGCAGTTATGATCACACTAAATCTCTAATTAACCTTACAACATTTATATATGCACAAATTAAAGTTCTTCAGGGTTCATGTTTATGCTCAAAATTTCAATCTCTTAATTAAGTACTTCCATACAGCCAATGGCGGACGCAAGTGGCTGCAATTGTCTGCACTTGCATACACAAAGTTTTTTTTTTTTGGGGGGGGGGAGGGGATTTCACATTGGGTGAGTGATTCAGGTCAAGTAAAAATAAAAATAAAAAATAGGAAGATTGAAACAAAAAAAGTAAAGATATGTCCAACCCAATAATTAAAAGCTTAAAGCTTAACTCTAGCTATTGCTTTGTCTTTTTTTTTTTCCACATAAATCTTATTAGCTCCAAATCTTAATAGATATCAACGATTCCTGAAATTCAATCTTCATCAAGTGAAGGAGAATCGCACAGGACTTTTCATTTTTTTTGTGAAACAAAAGTAGTCAACTTTGTATCAAATAGACATCGACAAATGTGGATTTTTGATCGATTAACCCTTATAATTATATTATATTGTACAAATGTCTTTTTGTGGTGTTTATTTTTTTTAATTATTATTATCGATTATTTTCTTAAACTTTGGTAGATTCACCAAAGTTTTACTTTTGAAGTGGAAGCAAAAATTAGAAGATGATCTTTGGAGGCGGCGCCCCCGATCCTCCGTCCTAAGTGTGCAGACATAATAAAAATTTCCTGGATCCGCCACTAATACAGCAAATATATATTTGTTTGATGGTTACATAAACAGTATAGAACACGATAGTTTACATATTTGTTCAATAAAAAAAACGAAATTAAGTAATTTAGATTCATTCAATTTACGGTGAATTTTATGTAGTAATAATAATTAGACAGGCTTATATAGTATATGTACTTCTTACATATATAATGCAATTTTTCAACATTGATCAAGTTTGACGGATAGAATATAGCTTAGAAAATTTCGCAAGTATTTATAAGGTTTGGCATTGCAATTGAACTTTATCATCTGATTTTTATTATCCTGCAAAGGAAGCAATGAGATTTGTTGGTCACTTTTCTTCCTCCAAAGGTCTTTTTTTATTTATTAAACCATGAATCGAAAACGGAAGCCACACCCCGGTAGTTATTACTTCATTCTATCCATATTTAATTTATAAGCAAAGCATTTATGTCAGATACTGATGGAATGAGTCACATTTGATCAAATTATTATTAAATAGTATGAATTGCTTCCATATCAAATTATTATTAAGAGTGCGCTGGCCAGTGGGGTTATGCATTTGGTGCAAATTGTAAGTTGGATCCAAGTTGTAGCATTAGTATTATAAGATATTATAAGGCATTATTTCTAGAAGCACTACAGTTAGACAAAGACTTATACATGAAGATAATGCTCAACGACTTCAGTTGCAGAAGTAAAATATCCGGCGGGACCTAGCTGTCCAATTATTATTATTATTATTATATCAATCTCTGTCTTGAGCTATATATAATACGGCACTCCCACTTGCCATAAAATGTACCATAATTTTATATTGGGGAGGGTTAGAGGGCTCATTGCTCCAAGAAAAATGGTATACATCAATGTTTTGGATTCTAAAATCTTATAAATATGTCAATTATATTTGAATGGTATACATTTGACAAAAAGTAGATGCAATGGTCGTCAAACCAAAGAGAAAAACAGAGGCATAAAATCCTTATAGGTTCAGAATCATCGTAGGCAAATAACAAAAACATCAAATTAGTTATAACATTTGTTATGGGTCCATGAAAGGCTCCATACTTTAGAAACTCTAATAAATGGCAGCATAAAAGGAACATTATGCAAATAAGGAAGGGAATCGTTGATTCATGAGAGTCTTATCCTGATAGTTATACAATCGGACTTGGGTCTCTGAACAAGCAACTTAAGGTTCAAAACTTCGCTACCCACAGTTACATTCTAGCTATAAATAAAAGGTAAAGTCTATATGTATGAAACTAATTTCTCTTTGATTGTTATGTTGTCACGTTGTGCATATACACCACTCCATTAACAAACATCGCAACCTCAGAAATATCTTTTTCATAAATATCTTAGAGAGCACCAGATCCAAAAGTAATTCACTAGTTGGGTCACAGGGGAGCCCATAGTATTAGATTTATACTTAGCACATTTATATCCAATGTAAGACTTTATTACTCACACTTGTATTCTTATCCCAACACAAATACGGGTGATACGAACTGCAACGAGTTTGTTTATTAGTGTGTGTGATGTATGTATAATTTTTTAATTATAAGTTTAAATCTTAATGTCAATTACTTAGAATTAGTAAGTATTTTGTATATTGTACAAGTATTTTTAAATTTAGATAACATTTAAAAATATTAAAGATAAAATTATAAATAAAGTATATAATTAATTCAAGTACAACATAAAAATATGATTTAAAAATATTTAAGATTTATAATAATATCATAATTAAATTAAAAAATATGAATTTGAAATTTAAAATGTGAGAAATTAGGGATAACGTGTGAATATTTAAGAAAATAAATTATAAAAAACAAGTCACTCTCAAAAAGAATATACTCTCATTTAATATATAAGAATTGAATTGATATTTATTTAAGCAAATAAATTAAAAATATAGAAAGATGGGAATTTACAAGCCAAGTGAATTCTTAAAATATTATGAATCAAAAGGAATCTGAAAAATAAATACCTTTCGAGGCAGTACAATTTTTTTTAAAAAATTGTCATCTCTCCTAATTTTTTTTTAATTACCAATTTACCATTGATACATGGTAAATTTTGAAGATATGTGTAGAACCTATAATACTCCACATCTGATAGAAAATCATTAGATTTACTCACAAATCCATTTTCTACCTCAACCAAAACTAAAATCCATGCAACAAAATGTGACAGGAGGAGGATGGAGTTGATTGCAGCCAAATCTAAGAAGCAAGTAGTCACTGCAAAAAGCTCTAATGATCAGGGGAAAAAAGGGGGGAAGAAGCAATAAAAGCTATGTTGGATAAGTAAACTATTTATGCCTCCATCTATTAGTATGAATAGCACAATACACATCAAAGACAAAAAAAAAATAACAATAAAAGTTGAAGAGTCCTATATATTAACAAAAAGTGATATGAATAATCTAGCTGCATACATCGGGACATCAACTCACTGTGAGACTCCAATTAAGAAATATGGCCTTTCTGTACTTACATGATTTATTCCGCTATTCAAGTTCAAGTGCACTGAATAGCGATGCCGAGTGCCGACCCATGTGCGATCTTGTCCAATTGTCTCTCGTAGTCATTATTAATCTATAGATTTATGCCCCAAATTTAAAAAAAAAAAAAAAAAAAAACAACGGACAATGAAACTTGTCTTGGCGCAGAACATTCATAATACTTTTTTCAGCAAAATATATCAAGTAAATTTGAATAAGGTTTTGTCCCCTTTTTTTTATCTAAGAAATCGCCTAATATACCATGCCAAGGTAAAAAATATATATTAGATTTTACCCATCGAGTGAAGACAACTTCATAATTTGCTCATTAACAAGTGGGTTTATCAAACTAGAGATGACTCCATTTAATTTTTTCCTTTTTTTTTTTTTTGGAAAGCACTTTTTCCTTTTCAATTATGTGCAAATTGAATTCCGTGATTTGGATGAGTCAATACTTAAATCCATTCATACAAACTGCAACAACTACAACAATTAAAAATAAAAAAATTTACAATCGTTGCATGTAGTAAATTTTGAAATCCCTGAGACAAAACCAAATTTGTAGGAAAAGTAAAATACAGATAAAATCTATTATTAACAAGGACATAAATATGATAACGACGTTTAACTGAGAAGGGAACACTGATGGCAGCAACTGCAGCGGAATAAGAAATGTGAAAATCCAATGCCAGATACGTCCTGAGTCAGCACACGGAAACGCCCATTGGATAAGCTTTATCTGTGGTTTTTTTTTTAAGAAAAAAGAAAAAAGAAAAACTCGAACAAGCAATGCCACGGTTATGTTCAGGGTGGGGTCCACACCCAACTCCTTCTCTCTCTCTCCATTCATTTATATAAGAACCCTAACCCCAATTTCATTCTTCCCATTCTATTCCCAAATCTCAACTTCACAACGACAACGTTTTGTAACATATCTACAAACATGCTCTCCTCCTTGTCCTTTCCCGCGTCTCTCTCCGCCGCTAACCTCACCGGCAACGCCGTGGCTCCACCACCGTGCCGCGTGAGATCCCGGCCAATAGTCGCCTTTGCCACCGCCACTGCCACCGCAACCGCCGATGCTCGTTCTACCTGGACGGAGCAACCGAGGCCTTCGTATCTGAACTCCTCTTGCTCTTCTCTCTACGATGTTCTAGGCATCCCCGCCGGCGCCTCCAACCAGGAGATCAAGGCGGCGTACCGGCGAATGGCCAGGCTCTGCCACCCTGACGTGGTGGCGATCGACCGGAAGAACACATCAGCGGACGATTTCATGAAGATCCACGCCGCGTACTCTACCCTGTCAGATCCAGACAAGCGTGCCAATTACGACCGGAGCCTCTTCCGGCGACAACGGCCGTTGTCGACGGCGTCGATGTTTTCCGGCTATACGAGTCGGAACTGGGAAACGGACCAGTGCTGGTAGTGAAAGCCTCTTGGCTTAATTAGAGTCTAGAAACGAGAGAAGGCGCAGTTATTGAAGCGCCTTGCCTTGCCTATAATTAATCAATTACTAATTAGTTAGTTATCAGAGTTTGTATTATAGTACGTATATGTACATATACGCGTAGATGTAGAAGCAGCTTGATGTTGATGGTACTTCAGTCCTAATTACAAAGTAGGATTCCGTGAGTTTTCCGCTACAATACCGTATTTTGCTGCTTGTAATGTAAACTTTTTTCCCATGATTCCAGCAAATTTCATGGAAGAACAAAAAGAAGAAAAGAAAGTTAACATCTGGTTATATGAATCCGCAATATATAAATTTTCTTCTTTATTTATTTTAAAGATTTAGTATTTGTCTTTTTTCAATTAACAAAAAAAAAATATTTTTTGCAATTAATACATATAAGTTATCTGTGTTTATTCTGATTTCTCAAAATGACGTTGTTTTGGGATTGAAAAATTAAAAATTTAATTATAAAAATTATAATAATTCTGAAATAAATTAAAATTATAAAAATATCATAATTTTTGTTCAAAAGAACATATTAGACTTACTGTATATAAATATTTATTGCAGAAAAAATAATCTTGATACAACTAATGAAAATAATAGGAAAGAATGACTATTTAAAATTTAAATAAAAAATATTAAATTTTGTTTTTTCTCTATTTTAAATACATGATTATTTATGTTCTTTAATAGAATAAATATTATTCCTTATTTTAAATTTTTATTAAAACAAAAATTAACAGTAGATGTATGGTTTATTAGTAATTATCGATCAGTTCAAGGAAAGCAGTATCCTAATTGAGATATGCGATGTTGATCGGTTTGGGACGGGTTAATCGAAAGTGCAATCAACGTTAATTCGGCTTATTTTAGAAAAATATTAGCTCGGTGCGCTCTCAAAATTTGGAATTTTGGTTATAATAAAATCAAAAGTCAACTACACTTGGCGTGTTATGAAATTCTAGAAGCTCAAGGTTTCTAGAAGGAAAGGGTACTGTGACTGTCGGTTGATTCATTAAACTATGGGCAATGTATTTTTCATGGCACATGAGAAGAAATTTTTTTGCAAACACATAATGGTGGGCTCCATGTTTTTTTAAAAAAAAGATGAAGGCACGGATTTCTAACTGAGACAACAGAAGAAGATTAGTTTTGCGGTGACATGAGAAGTAATTTGCCGTTAAATTAATCGTTTGATTTTTATTTTGTTTATTCTTGTGATCTATTTCGTTTTCATTTCATTTTCACCTTTTTAAAATTCAAGTTTCCAACTTCCAATGCACATGAGTAGGAGTGTAGGACGGCCCAAGAAAAGTATCTTCCGTGTTTGGATGGAAGTTGTGAATAGTTGGTTAGTCTGTAATATTTTTTAGTAAGTTTATTGTGGATGAGTTATCTGTTCAATAAACTTTGAAAGTTACATCTGAGTACAGGTTTTGTATAAATTTTTTGTGTAACATAAAATTAAAATTGGTTGTGTCCAGGGACCATGTCTGCACCAAATGTGTTGGTATCATGATGGTAATATGGTATTAATATTCATTTTTTTCTTATGTTACATGCATACTTTTGCTACTATGCTAAGACACGTGTATTTTTTAATTTTTTATTTATTTATCGTTTTGAACAAACCAAAACACAAGAAACCGGAAATTATTTACCCCAATTAAAAAACAATTTTCTGTAAACAACATATGTGGTTTCCACACAAATCAGAAAGTTTAGCCTTTCAACTTAAAGAATGAAAATTGAAAGTAAACTTGAACGGGATTGAGGGAACACTCACACATGCATAGCAACATTAGAACAACATATCGTAATAAATTATTAATATGTACAGGGATATGGCTTTTACATAGAGAAAGTTGCAAACAAATTTGACAATCTCAGACAGAGATACAGATATACGGTGTAATCTGTATTAGAGTGTAATTACTAGTATGGATATAAATGGAATAAGCTGGGTCGAACTTTGTTCTGGAAAGTCCATATTTATATCAAAAAAAATTCAATTTGACCTGACTCGAACCTAATACGAATAACTGTTCTCGTTCGTTTATAAAAAAATAAATGACCTAACTTAACACCCGTTTGCCCATTTATTAATACTAACTTATTAGACTATTACTCATTTTCTGTTACACTTCGTGTGGACCGCTGCGACAACATGCCTGGATTAGCAAAATAAAATTATTTTTTCTGTCAATTCAGATTGGAGATTTTGAATTTAATTTACTCGGCATGTAAAAGAAAACAGCAGTTGCGTAAAAAAAAAAAAAATTAAATGTGTCAACAATTTTGAATATAGCTTCATGAGGCTGGTTGTACTTCATGCCATTTTTTCATTTTAGAGAATGTAAGGTAAAGAAAAAGTAATAAAGCACATATAAAAACGAATCGACGATTATGAAAGGAAATGAAAAGCGCGTTATTTTCCTTGTCGTGGAGGTGACTTTTCAGCAGCCGTGGAAATTAATTTGGTTATGTCCTCCTATCCTTCTAGAAGAAGATATCTAGCAAGCTCATCATGATGTGTTTTGTGGCCCTCATATAGCTTTATTTATTCATTCGTTGTGATGGACCACACACTATCCTCCAAAGTTTGATTAATCAAATGTTCGCATCGACACAATCACAGATGAGAGAGAAGATAACCTTCTAGATATTCGGAGGCAACTAGACAAAAGTACTAATTGAGAAAGCATAATATAATCCATACTAAGATTGGATGTAGTTGAGTATTATGTTAGGATCTATCACTGTTTATTAATATCATTCCACTTCTTCACTTTCAAAATTCAATCATTAAATGCAGCAACTGGGTTATTTGTTTCAATAATTAAAAAACACTTTACTTGCACCTAGTATCCCTAGCACTTCAATATTTTGAATTAAATAATTTAAAAAAAATATAAGTTAAATAATTATTTTTTAGATTATTTAACATTAAAAAATATATTAAAATTACAAAGAAAGTATATATAATTAATTAAAAAATAAAATTGTTAATTAGAAAGGTTAAGAATAGCATGCTATTTTTCAAGAGAGAGTAAATTATAAGATTAAGTTACTCTTGAGATAATATACTCTAATTTGATGTATAAGAGTGGAGCGGTCAAGATTTGAGAGAGAAAAAAAAGTAATTTTAGTAAAACAAAATTTGAAAAAATAAACAACTTAGATTCAAAAAAAAATTGTAATTTTTTTTAAATAGTTATTTTAAGAGTAGAAAGCTGAATTTTTTTTAAAAAATAATATAAATTTTTTCAAGTGACTAACTATTTGAGAATTTTTTAAAATATAAAAAACAGTACAATAACATGTTACTTTAATGTTAAAAATAAGTACTCTACTTTAAGAATATATTATAAGTGAAAATGATATATATTATAATTTCGCATAAAAATCGATACGCATTAAGAAACAAGAGTACTCTGCGTTGTGTGTGCATTGATTTGGCAGCGGACCAAATTTCTACAACCTTCCATATCACTGTCGGGGAGAAAAATTTCTAAATTTTGGCATTAATTTGACTTGATGAGTTCCTACAATATAGCAAAGGGAATGCGAAACATTGACGAAAGCACGACTTCTCGATCGTTCATTTTTTTTTTTTTCAAACCTCGTGCAAACGTGAAACACTAACTAGGTCCAGAAACCAGTGGCCAATTCGACTTGATGAGGCGTAGCAAAACAGTGCAAGGGAAAAAAAAAAAATTAAGGACCACAGCTCCTGCAGTATTATTGTTATTATTTTCAAACCTCGTGCAAGTTTGAAGCACTAAATCCAGAAACCAGTGGCTGCAAATGGTTTGTTTTTGTATAACTAGTATTATAATTTAGGGAAAAATGTTTATGAAGTTAATGCAGATAAGTTATCTGTATTTATTTCTAAAATGACGTCGTTTTGGTATTGAAATCTTAAAAATTATAAATATAAAGACTATTATAACCCTGAAATAAATTAAAATTACAAAAAAACCATGATTTTTGCCCCAAAACGACATCGTATCGGACTTACTGTAAATAACTTATCTGCAGTAACTGCAGAAAAAGCGAACCCTATAATTTATAGCATCTGAATTATTTATATATTATAAAAGGAAAAATTATTTATTATTTTAAAGGATATAAGTATATGTCCTTTCACCCCATATAAATATGTACTCCGGAGAATACATAGTTACAATATTAAAGTTATTTTTTTTCTCCCTTCATAAACTTTTCAAAAAGTTGTCAGTTGACGTGGAGAGAGAAAAAAAAAACAACTTTCATATTATAACTATGTACTTTGCAGAATATATAGTTATAAAGGGCGAAAAGACATAAATTTATATTTTTTAAAAGGACACTAATAAACCTACGGTTTATCATGATTCAAGACTAAATTATGTAGTGAAAACATAGTCAATTGCATGTAAACTTGGGTTTTTGGTGAGAAAAGCTTGAAGATTGGATATTAGGCTAACATATTGTTATTTTGTTTGTTTTGAAGGTAAATTGACAACAATAATGCTCATGAGTGATAAGGAACTTAGAAAATAAAAGTGGAGCCCAATTCTAGTCAAATATGTTAGGTCAAGCAATTCAAGGTTCAGGAGAACGCGCTCCAACGCGAGAAAGAACGCTCCAGCGCGCTAGGACAGCAGAATTAGTCACTTCTAACCATTAAGAGCGCTTAAGCGCCCAATAGCGCACTCAAGCGCTCTAAACAAGAAAAAATTTCCTATTGAGGAGCATGCTCGAGCATCTAGATGGGCGTTTGAGCGCGTTGAGGCAGAGGATTTCAAAACTTATGAATGTGGAAGCGCGCTTGAGCGCCCAACGCGAGCCAAACTAAGCCCAATTTACAGAATCTTGAATTAAAAAGATGTGAGTAAGATTTGAGAGAGATTCATTGAGAGATTTTATGGAGAATTAAAAAATATGGTTTCATGGCTATAAATAAGGAGCTGGGGATCAATTGAGGGGAATTGAAGGGAGAGCGTTTGAAAAGTCAAGAAGGAGAATCTTATTGCGGAGCACTGAAGAGTCAAGACAA